TTCAGTTTGAGCTGTCGTTTTCTTTGAGAGTCAAATACCAGTGGACGTTTCAAAGCTCTCTTTTCATTTTCTCTGCCGACAATAGACAAAAACACAGGGTTTCGCTTAAGAAATGCAGTCCAAATACACAGACATGTGCGCTCATGTCACGCTATTTGCTTTGCGTTATCATGTCATCCAGGGTGTCACGAGGTGGGATTGAAAGTGATTGTTTTCGTGTACACTTGCAATGTTTGCTACGCTGTCCTTAGTTTTTTATTGAATTGGCCATGAATTTACCTTCACTTTTCCGTAGTTTCGATATTGAACGCAGTGACGGCCGCTCCTCACTAACGCTCCATGTGGCCGGCCAGTGACTATCCCCACTAGATGTCAATCCTTACCCTACCCGTGATTGTTTGCGCCTTAACAATCGGATAAAGTGAAGAACGAGAACTATTCACTTTATTAAAAATATTTTCAGTACGCATACCCTTGAAATTCATCAAAAGTTGTACATGTGCGCGAGTTTCAGCGTGAGTTTTTAGCTTATAAACCATATCGACGTTAATTCTGGATATCGCAGCCCTTTTAATACGTCATCACGTAATTCGAATTGGCCCTATAATTCGGTCGTGTATAAGTCAATGTCACCCCCACCAGCAATAACCTAATTATGTCATTGATTCCTTTAATTTCAGTTAAAATCAGTGTCATGCACGGCTCAACTTGTGTGCAGTAGCACAATTTTGCATTCAGACATGTCTGAAATATGTATCTGTGTTTTGCGGCTAGATTTTTTACGCTGCTCAATTTTTGTGCGATGACGTTACTTTATGGGCCAAATTGTTTGTTTATAAACAACGATTTGTAAAGTTTCGTCCTGATTTGTAGTATACGTTGAGTAAAATGTACGAAGCGTATGTCATTACTTAATCTTGTACTCCCGCGCGCGTTTCTAATACCCTGTCGGGTCGAGGGGAAATCATTTGTGTTGTGATCAATGCCGTTGCTGCGGATGTAATGTTTTTACAAGTATTATCAGTAGTGGAAAAAGGATGGAAACACTAGGGTACAATGAAAATTGTTCTGGTAAATGGTTAACGTAGTGAATGAAGTACTGTAGAGTAACGGAGGGGACATGCATTATTTTTGCCATTGACTTTTGCCATTAGTGAAAGGAATCGAACGATATACAGGTTATGAACCTCATAAATGATGAGCCAGCCGTTTGTGCTATGCCCTATGTAGAGATGTGTTTTTTTGGAGACCTTTTGAAACCTAACTGATCCAAACCTTTAGCGTAGGCAGGCGTGGAACAGGTTAGACCAGGTTAGACCAGGTTAGGAATGTACTTTTGTAATGATTTTAGATGACCGCCTGCCATTTATTCAGTGGCATGATTTTTTATTGATGTTGGATGGACAACTATTTCATTTCCCTACTCGTAAATCACAGAATGCCAAAGAAATTGTTTTCAGGATAGACACACCAGTTTGTATCATCGCCAAAACAGCAATTACTTTGGCCCAGAAGTCTTGATGGCAAGGAAAGCGGGATAACGTGATCGATGACGGCCGTGCGCTGGAAAATCTTCCTTTTTTATGCGCTAATTCCTCACAAAAGGCAAAAGAAGATTCCGCTATGTAGAAAGTGCTTCGCAATACGTATTCTTGGCGAGAAAAATTCCAGCGATGTGGTGCAAATAAGGAGTTTCAACGGTTAACCACGAGAATACATATCGACATTAAGAGGTCGTAACAGACGAATGTTACTTTCCGTTGGCGGAAACGTGGTTAACCGTTGTAACACGAAGGAAACAGTGTTTTCTTCAGTTTGAGCTGTCGTTTTCTTTGAGAGTCAAATACCAGTGGACGTTTCAAAGCTCTCTTTTCATTTTCTCTGTCGACAATAGACAAAAACACAGGGTTTCGCTTAAGAAATGCAGTCCAAATACACAGACATGTGCGCTCATGTCACGCTATTTGCTTTGCGTTATCATGTCACCCAGGGTGTCACGAGGTGGGATTGAAAGTGATTGTTTTCGTGTACACTTGCAATGTTTGCTACGCTGTCCTTAGTTTTTTATTGAATTGGCCATGAATTTACGTTCACTTTTCCGTAGTTTCGATATTGAACGCAGTGACGGCCGCTCCTCACTAACGCTCCATGTGGCCGGCCAGTGACTATCCCCACTAGGTGTCAATCCTTACGCTACCCGTGATTGTTTGCGCCTTAACAATCGGATAAAGTGAAGAACGAGAACTATTCACTTTATTAAAAATATTTTCAGTACGCATACCCTTGAAATTCATCAAAATTTGTACATGTGCGCGAGTTTCAGCGTGAGTTTTTAGCTTATAAACCATATCGACGTTAATTCTGGATATCGCAGCCCTTTTAGTACGTCATCACGTAATTCGAATTGGCCCTATAATTCGGTCGTGTATAAGTCAATGTCACCCCCACCAACAATAACATAATTATGTCATTGATTCCTTTAATTTCAGTTAAAATCAGTGTCATGCACGGCTCAACTTTTGTGTAGTAGCACAATTTTGCATTTAGACAATGAGGGACAAAAGTGTTGTCACATTTCCATAAAATGGCCCCTTTTTGCGTAGTGGATATACTTATCCCCTTCCCCTGTCTACCCCAACCCCTTCCCCCCAAAATCAATGTTGAATTTTGGACCCTCAAGTCTTTTTTTTTACTTCAGACAACATTGATTCGGGGGGTGAGGGGATTTATGGCGTTTATAAAGAATGAAGTAATAAATGAATTAAACGTTTGTTAAAAGCACCCGTTTTAAACAAGTGTGTCAACTACTTTTGTCCCTGATTGTAGCTCTGCTAAAGTAACTTTTACCTCGATATTACATGCGCTGGGCCACCCTGAAGCCGCCATTTTTATATAGAGGTTGGAAGCAGTGTGCATGAGCAGTGTGGTACCCGCTGTCCTTTTTCTCGCTTGGTTCATTCGGCGGGCTGCACAGCAACCGTGGAGTGCTTTCTATTCAACATAAATTCCGGTTTGAAATTTCGGAAATTCTGCGTGCCCAATGAAACGGTACATTCCGGTTGCACAGACCTAACCCCAGCCACCGCGCGTTCGGTTATTGTTCTTTTAAGCAGGATACAAAAGAGCGGTACTGGAGACAACAATTTTGTGAAATGAAAAGGGACGTTTCGGTCTGACCGACCGAAATGACTGGACCAGTCACCGGTCACCGGTCACCGGTTCACAGGTGGTCCCAAACATTCCGGTCAGACCGACCCGAAACTGATCCGTTCCATTTGATTTCTAATGGAAATTAGATTATTAAACTGAATGGAAAACGCCTGTGATCACTTGGAAAATTTTCAGCGCGGATCCCGGCATCACAATACTGGGATCCCAGGTAACCGGGCTGGCTCGGTTGTCATGTAATCGCAAAGTTGATTTTTTTGTTAGGTTTAACTAAGGTGCAAAGATCTCTACAAGGCGAGCCAGCCCGGCTCATATAATCAGGCGCTTAGTTTTATTGCCAGATCTTACACCCTCCTCCTTGACCTCACCGGTTTTTCAAAGCCCTCTAAACCCACACTTAAAATTTCAGCCTCCCCAAACATCTTCATACCCCTTCTCCAAATGAAATGAACTTTCCCTTATCCACGTTCTCTCCATACAAATATTAGGCTGACTTAGCAACAGAACGGGAACGTCATTTGACGACGGGAAAGCGGACGGAAAGGACTAAACTCGACCTCCGGTGCCCAATTTGCCGCTCAGCCATTGGTCAAGCCAGTTGTTTAATTTTCGCGCGTCGTTGTCAACTGACGTTCCCGTTCTGTTGCTAAATGAGCCTATTATCAAGAATAGCTGAAAGACAATCCTAAACAAAAAGCCTAATACGGTAACATTTAAAATAAGTAGGAGTATGTTTTTGACTATTGATAAGATCTTTCAACTACCACTTCATTTCAACAGACTGTAACTACACTATCCCTTCATAACCAAATTAGCACTCCCAGTCTCCCACAACTACCTCACTTCACACCCAAATGCTATGAATTAATCAGTTCCACTTAACATATCTCAACCAACCCATTAAATATACAACACTGTTGTACTAATCACTCATCCCTAATATACTTTAAAAAACTTCACATACGCCTAGTTCAACGACACCCAAATATACGCTCCCACAGCGTCTTGTTTTATTTTACATCGCCTCTATTTGCTTTATTTTGGAGTACGGAAGTCCAGTTTTTCATCGTGCTCTGCCAGGTTATTTAATCAAAGACCTAGAAAGACTGCAAAAACATGCTCTGAACAAGGTTATTCAGTTACCCTGAGCTATATGCTAAGACTCTGGAGCTGTTCGGACTTTCAACACTGCATTGTAAGAGAGGTAAAACAAGTGTGGCAAGTCATACATAGAATTCCACACCCCAGCCTGCAACCACTAACTGTCTACCCTGAGGAGGTGAATGCCCACTTTACTTCTTTTGTGGAGTGAGTCACTGGCGCCACTGCAAAACCAGTTGATGCTCTTCTCAAGTTGATTGACTCTTCCCGAGGAGAGCGACACGTCCTTCCATATACGGCCGATCACCAGTTCCGAGGTTTTACAGGAGATAAAGAAATTGCGATCAGATTGCTCTTGCAGGATGGACAATGTCCCGGTTAAATTTGTCAAAATGGTGACAGATCATATTGCATCGCCAATAACGCACATCTTGAACACATGTATCTTGAAGTTGATACTTCCCTCGGCTTGGAAGTTCGTGCGTGTTAGTGCTATCCCAAAATAAGTGAAGTCAACGCCAACAACAACTTCAGGCCCATTTCAATACTTCCTGTGTTTTTAAAGATCTACGAGTGCCTTGTACTACGCCAGAAGGCACTTTTTATCACATTCTTCGGGGGGCGTTCTTCAAGACACCCTAAGCGCTTATAGGAAAGGACATAATACCACCGCAATGCTATTGGGTATGAGGGATGACATCCTTTGGGCTATGTAAAGAGGTGAAGTTGCTATGGCTAAGTTGGCTGACTATTCCGAGACATTTGACTCTGTCGCCTTCGAAACTGTGCCGAGAAAGCTACTTGGTGTATGCTTTTCCATGGCGTACCTCACATGAACTGTTTGCTACCTGACCCGCAGGAAACAATTCATCCAAATTGGCGACTAGACCACTATGCATATTGACGTCACATATGGTGTTCCTCAGGGCTCGATCTTGTGGCCAGTACTATTTAATCTATTTTAAGTAATGATCCAGGTAAGAAGGGAAGCAATTTCTTTTGTTGTGGCGCAATACGCTTTCCTCACATAGAAATGTTTTCATTTTTACGCAGAGAATGCATAAATCTACAAAAAGGCTGTTTACGAAAGAAAATGTATTTAAACTCCACTTTTAAAGGGTGTATTTTTGTGTTAAAACATTTCGACCAATCACAAGAGTTGCAAACAATGGCCAATAAATGTTCACAATTTTACATGATCCGCACATACGATTTCTGTGTTACTTAGACTCAGACGATATTTTGTTATAAGGAAGTTGGATAGAAAAAAAGGGATTAATATACATGCTGCTTTGCGAAGGTTTCGTAAAATTTGATGTTTAAACCAATCAGAACCTTAGTAGAGACAATAGTAAAGTTAGCACCTTTTTGCATTCCGACGTGTTCACTGCGTTTTGGTCCTTTCCTTCTTATCTAGACCATTACTTAATGACCTTACAGACTGCTTGGATTCTATTAAGTCAATACGCCGATGACACAACAATCTATCTTCATGGGAAACCCACTAGTTTAAAAGAGGACGAAAAGCGATCATGGCAAGCTCTCGACGACCTTGCTGACCTGTTTGGTAGGTTGTAGTCTATGCCTAAATCCTACGAAGACCACGGTTATGCTGTTTTCAACTCAGCAGCTTTCTGGTGTCCAGTTGAGATCTCAGCTGATGGTAAGAAACCGGAAAGATTGAAAACCTCTGAGCTACTTCGCATGATTTTCCAAGAAGACCTGAAATGGAACATTGAAATTATCGCAATTGTCGAGTTATCATAACTCCCTTTCTCTAATTTGGAAACTTAAGAGGTCTGCTCCTGTATCACTACCTTCCTGATTACCTCATTCGCACTTACAGCGTGTCTAGATCCGAGCCAACTTTGTTCTTAATGGTTATGTGACCATATTGGATGTAGCATAGAAGAGCCATTTTTCATGGAATGCTAATAAACCGTTATTATTATTATTGTTATTGATATATTTCTCTGCTAACATTATATGTTTATTCCTTTCCTTGAGGCGTTTCTTGCCTTCCTCCAGGGTCTCGTTGAGAACTGCTTCATCGCTAGTAGAAGTGGCCACCTCAATTTATCTCAAGTACTTTCTCGTTTATAATTCGTGCTCAGGCTTCGTTAATTTTTCCTGGGATGGCTCTATCGCGGGCCATTACTTCAGTTCTCTCTCAAGGAGTTGCAGAAGTTCTTCACTCTTTTGTGTGCTTCAAGGAGCCTTTTGGCCATTCTGGTGTGTTCGGTGAGGTTGAGCGGCTAGAAGTGCTTAACGCCGCTTTGGCGGGATGACTCTCGCCGATCCACGACCCTTTTCCACTCAGTTCTTGAACGTTTCTATGGCTCCCTCGCTGGACTAGTGTTGTGGGCCAAGAGGGGTTGTGTAGCTCTCGGTCTGGGCGGCACATATTCTTTATGCGAACAACTAAAGAAAAAGCTGTTGCACTGTACGGTAAGAGACAAAAACTGAATCACGTGATGAGCGGGAAAGCTGATACCCTAGAATGTATCTCGTGCCCAGGTTCTATTCAGTTAGGAAACTTCATTTCTTGTCTCTTTTGCAAGTCAGCCGGCAAGAAAAGCAAATATTTCTTTAAGTACAATAGAACCCTGCTCTACGGGTGCTGTACAGCCCCCGAAATGATCCCGACCCCGAAATGATCCCAAACCCTGAAATGATCCCCAACCCTGAAATGATCCCCAAAACGACCCCGAAATGATACCGACCCCGAAATGATCCCCATTTCTCTTCACGTCGACTCCGAAATGATCCCCAATTAATTCTTGGAATGGAATGGTATTCCGTCACAGAATTATTACAAATCTGTTGCAGCGTTTACGTTTAACATTTCGCTACAGTTTGTGTGATTTTTTAGCGCTTTTGACATCTAATCGCCTTTATGTAAACGTTTGCATCTTCAACATTATTTTAAAATTTTAAAAAGTGTTAAAACACCTTTTTTAAAATTCAATATCCAAGGCATTGAAAGCGTTACAGTCAAGAAGACTTTTGCAGGGACTGATCAAACAACGTGAAATAGAGTTTAGTTGCGATATTTCGACTGGCCAATACCAGTCTTCATCAGGTTTATTGAGATATCACGAATTACAGATTTATATATGAAGTAAAATACTGATCGGAAATTACATAATATGACGTGGTATGATGTGGCTACTTTAAAAAGACAAGATAACAAAAAATAAAAGATATACTATATATAGTGACAGTTCATCACGTTTATTGATGCCCAGAGGCTCAATTGTCTTAGCTTTATGGATAAGGTGGGCTTCACGTGCTTTCCTGAACGAATTACGCCCATTTTTAAGTTTTTCAATAGGAAGCAAAAGCATACGATTGTCGGAATGATTACTGGTTAGAAAGTGTTCTGAGGCTGCAGTATGGATGTAATTGCCACTAGGGTTGAGTATAAGTGTTCATTAAAACGGTCTTTGAGGCGACGTTTAGTTTCTCCAATATATTGTAGATTACACAGGCGACATTGAATCAAATAGATAACATTAAAAGTTTTCACAAGTGATGCAAGGCATGCTGTTTTAACACCACTATTAGAATTTAACATCTATGCAGTTTTCTCTATAACCCGGGCTATAATGACCTAAGTAATAATTTTAAAAAATGTTATGTTTCTTGATGTTATCAGTTGCAGTTACTAAAAGTAACTAGACTTTGTGTATTTTTTTAAAAATAATATTTTCGTTTAATCCAGTTCAAAGTGTAATCCCAAATTAATGTCACGTGGGCAACTGAAGATCATTACTTCGGCGGAGCGCGAAGTAAAGGTTTCGCGACGCTCAGGAATGTATCAAAGTTACAATTTTTTGACAAGATTGGGCATGCAAAGTCTGTAGGTTTTCGGTTTTACTCGGCTATTTGACGAAGTGAGAGCCGAATTAATTCGAGATATCTCGAGAGCACTTCGATTTCTTTGATTTATTCTTTAACTTTTTCGAGGAAGAAAGAATTATTATTTTGGCTTTCCCGGGGTTTTAACCGACTCACCTGTGTGACCCGTCAGATCTGAGGAGACTCGAAGTTGAGGGATTAGCCGATTGCGCTACTGCGACCCAAGGTAGTTTGGGATATGAAAAATAGTTATGAAATGATGCACTAGTCTCGGGACAAGATTGGGCGTGCAAGTTCGTGACTTTTCGGCTTGTTTCAACTATTTCACGAAATGAGACCGGACTACTTCGTGATATCTTGAGATCACTTCGAGTGTAGTCTTTAATTACTCGAAGAATAAATAGAGGATATTTCGTGGCCGCGCAGAGACACAAAATTTCTCTTCGAGTGTTGAAAAACAATTCACGAGTGAGCCCTCCTTTCGAACTGTTTTATGATGAATTTAAAGTTACAAAATGCTGCAAAAAGACATTTTGTCTTTGTTGAGTGTTACGAAGTAAAATTGCTTTCATGCGTTGCGTGACTTTCTCGAACGTTCTCTACGTTTTTGGATTTCCATGAATAATTAATTAGGGCATGTTTACATTTCAGCATGAGTCAGCAGATTTGTATCAGTTACTGAAATCATAAAATATGTCGAAAAGCTACTACTATTCGCCTGCTGTTTATTTTCGCCTGTTATTTTCTATAACCTTATGTCAAACGGTATACAAGTTCCAAGCGAGTTCTTTTGAAGAACTAAGTTAATTTTTTCCCACGAGCTGGACTGCTGTGTTTAGTCAAGTGTGACGTATTGTGTTTACAAGTTCGCGGAAGCCGCAAGATATCTGAAGTTCAAGTGAGAGTTTGTTATTATTGGTAGAGGCTGTTTAGTTTTACTCAAAGTTCAAGTCAAGTTTGTGTTGGTCGATGCTGTGCTTTAAAGCTCTGTAAAGGCTATGTTCCTTTGGTGTTAATCTTCCTTGTGTTAATCCGACATCCCTGCGTGCTGATAGTCAGTGAATAATTATCCTCAAAACATTCGAACTCGTGACTTTGAGTTTTAGCCAATTCCATGCTCAACGTAATTGACTCCTTACCCATGCCTTACATATCTTTAATCAGTACATGAGACTGCTATGCTGTTTTTGAAGCCTGATGTGACTAAGAAAAATAGAGAATTGTTTTTTTAGAAGGATTTGTATGAAGTCATCAGAGCATAACTGGGCGAATATCTGGGAGACAATTTGTCCCGAAATGCTAGTTTTTGGCAACTAGGCCTCTTGGATGTTGCTCTTTTCAGAATATCCTGACAAATCCCATAATTTCACAAATTAACACCTTACTCTTACCATATTTGATTTCTTACTATTCCTGCCCATTTACAATTAATTAGTTGCACAACCACGACGCCGAAGTGTACGCTCCGTAGCGTCTTGTTAGTGAAGCTTAAGCTATAATGTTGTGCATTTTGCACGATCCATAGTTCTAGGATATCATTCCATTCCTAAAATTAAATAGGGATCATTTCGGGGTCGACGTGAAGAGAAATGGGGATCATTTCGGGGTCGGTATCACTTCGGGGTCGATTTGGGGATCATTTCAGGGTTGGGGATCATTTCGGGGTCGGGATCATTTCGGGGGCTGTACAGCACCCACTTAATATGAATACCCGTGTATAACGGTCAATGTAGTTTGTCCTGACGAAAAGCTCATATATTTTCTCTAGAATGAATGCGGTTTATGGACACAGGCTAATGTGGACAAGACACATTTTACTCTGTCCCGGGACACAAATTCCCATATATTGTCAACCCCACTTTACAGACACTATTTATCTACCTACTATGACCAAATATCTTACCAGTGAAAAGCTAACAGAATAAAGGCAAATGACCTTTCAAAGGTTCTGCCTAATATTCAATCCACCTTCCAGAGTCTCAAACTAAAAGCATCAGTACGAAGACTCTGATTTCATTGTCATGTTTAAAGAACAGTACTTAAAACTAGAGATAATTTTAGTCTGAGACTTTGATAACTGATTTTGAGTTTTGTTTAAGGTAAACTTGTTAAAGTTACAGTTAAGAAATTAAGTAAGGTTTTCTCGGTGAAATGTCTGCTTATATCCATAAAACATGCGTCCATGATGGTTTTTTTGGGCTCGCTAAACAGGGACAACTGGGACAATATAGACACTATGGCATGACGTTCCCTTGGTGTCCGTATTAACGTGGTTCCACTGTAGTTATAAATCTTTTACTTTAGTCGTAAACCTCATCGTATGAACAAGATGCTGTGGGAGCGTATATTTGTCGATATACAACGCGTGTGTGAAGTTTTTTATGTGTTTTAGGGATGTTTGAGTAGTGCAGTAGCGTTGCATATTTTAGGGGTTGGTTGAGAGGTGTAAATTGGAAGGGGTGGAGTTATATTAGACGTGGATTGGTAAGATGGCTATAGTTTGTTAATCGCTGAAACTGGTTTCTCTTAGAATCGCATAATTAAATAAAAACTCGCATTCTGATTGGTTAACGAAGCGAGGTATTTAGCGTGGTATTGCGAGTTGAAAACGAGGCTAAGTGATATTGTTTCGCATGTACGTAACAACTATCGTCAAATTCTAACACAACAGCTGTAAGACTGTTTTTCTACAATGTCATTTTAAATTGTTTTCAAAACCATTCTCACCTTTTGAAGAGCCACAAACAAACAAAAGTATTTTTTTTTGTTTTGAACTGAACTATAAATTCTTGGAGAGGCATAGCCCAGAAAATGGCAAGCAAAAGTTCAACCAAACAAGACGGAGAAGCGACAATGGGGGAAGTGCCAGGGTCGATTGTCACACATACAGAAGAAAAAATAAATAC